GGTTGGAGTTGCATTCGCTGCCGAGAGGTAAGGGGCTTAACACGCATCAATTGTTCGCTTCACTTTAGTTTCTGTACATGAATATTAAAGAATTTTCGCTTTAAACTAAGCTAAGCTTAATAATAAACATAGAATAAATTATTAGAAGAAACATTAGAGCAAATATATATTTTTAAATATAGTGAAAAAAATGAATATAAAAATATAAAACTTCGATTCTGCAACGTAGATATCATCGTAGATAATACATCGATTTTAGTTAACAAAAAAGTTAACAATATTTCATTCAATAATTATGGATATATTTTTATGACCACTTTTTCGATAAATCAAAGTTTAAAAACTCATAACTAAGTCAAAAATTCTTTTATTTCACTTTGGAAAGCTTTTCTATGATAGTTTTTAATAGGCTAATAATTCTGCATTCTCAATTGTAAATTTAAAAAAAATAAGTTTTTTGTTAACCCCGTTTAAAATTTTCAAAAATACGAAAAAAAATTGTTTTTTTCTAATATTTTATTTTTAACTAATTAGGATTTTAATTGCGAGTCGGAATATATAATATATGGCTTTTAACAATCAGTAGGGCTTTACGGATTTTATGCCCTCACTAACTACTGAAAATTAGCATTTTATGTATTTATATTATTATATATACACAGACTATTTTGTGGATTTTAAAATTTTAAAATCTATATAGTGAAGACATTTCTCACCCTAAGAAAAAAGCCCGCTTCAGTTTCATATTCACAGTTCTTTTAGTGATAAATTTTAGAGATTTGGATAGCCTTCTTTTATTTCTAACTATATTATATTTAAGCATTTTGTTCATAAAATTACCCAAGATTTTTTCGCAGTGTCCATATGCATAGAAAGAAATGCCAGAGGAGAATCGCAAAACAGAAATCGCTGAAACTGAGGGCAATACCCACAGAGAGAAAGACACGTGTTTTGAATTAAGTGCGTGCCTCCTCCTTCCTGCACCGCGACCCAGTGCACCCACATGCAGCACCCCCTCCTTACCATTAGAGCCACATTCTTGACGCTCCGTGGTTGTTGACATTTTAATGGTCGCAAAGGAAACACACTCGCTGGAACTTAATAATAAAAAAATAATAATATACACACAACAATACACATGCTGCATGTGCGGCATAATCACGTGCAAACAGGCGAAATCAGAATTGCAACGGGCAATTTGAGCGGATCTGCGGCAGCCACAACACGTTGTTAACTTGCTGCGTGCTGCTTGCTGCTTGCTGCTCAGGTGCAGAGCTTCGACCCGAAGCTTGTCTTGTAGTTCGCCTACTCCAGTATGGGTGAGTATCTGTGTGTGACGGCGACCTGTTGCCACGACGTTGGCAGAGCTTCGGCTGCGACAGAGGCAGCGACAGCGACAGCGGCTGTTAGCTTTTTTGGGCGCAGTTGATGAACGAAGCTGTTGGCCGAAAGACGCGACGGGCTCAAACTCCGGCTTAAACTCCCACTTAACAAAACAAATTTAACTCAGCCAAGTTAGTAGCCCAAATTGAGAGTTAATGGCCCTAAAACAAAGTGCAAAAGTGAAGATTATAAATGAATTATTACAAATTTTATATAAAGAAAGTAATCTTTGAGGATAATTCTCTGTATAAATTATATACTAGGGAAACTGTCATTAAAACAAAGTGCATATGTGAAATATACCTTTTAAATTAAAGATTTATTTATTAGTTGTCATACCAAAAGGGAATTCCTTTATAAACTGAGTTAAAAAATTAACTAAATGTTGAACAATATCAGAAAAGAGATCCCATCTTTAAAGAGACCCTATTTTAACCTGCTAAAGCCATTCACAGAACAGGTTATATTTATAAATTAACCTGTAAAATGATTTAAAATCCCAAAAAAACTACAAGTCTACAGTGTTCTACAAAATATAAACCTTACTCCAGCAGTTCTAAAACAATCAAACTTCCGTTCCTTCAGTGCGTGCAGTAAATCCATCAAGTTAATAGAGTGCACAACAATTTCAGCCATAATTTGAGCTCATCACCACAATCGCATCTCATCGCGTATCTGATGGCTGGTATCTCGTATCTTGTATCTCTTAATCCCCTGAAAATTCCAAGCTTGAGTTGGAGGGGGGAGGGACCCACAAAAGGCAAAGAAATTCAACAAAAGAAAGGAGAAGAAGATTTCAGTGAAAGTGATGAAGCGTCACCAACATCCGCGTCTCTTAATGATCGGCAGAGATCACATGTGGCTCATATAGTATATATGCATATAAGTGGGCCACCACAGATACAACAATGGGAAAAACAATACCAACACAGTAGTTATAATAAATGTTTGCATGCGCAAAATGTTGTTAAAAAAATACACAAATAATTTACTGCCAGAGGACCGGAATTTCAGTTTTGTGTCAGCCTCAGGCTGAGAAAATGGCAAAAGTTTATGCATTATGCTAAATGAGTGGACAAGGCAAAGGGGCAATGGGTTAAATACCTAAAAAAAATAGTTAAACATGTTAAATAATTATACAAATCTATAGCGAAAAGTACATTAATTAGCTTTAAGTTTAAGTTAATGTATAAAGTATTGCCTGCCTCTGTGATTTATACACTTTATAAATCATGAAAAAAATATTTGAGGAGATTCTAAATACAAAATTATTTCTATAGTTTTATATCTATAGTTTCTATAGTTTTAACAGTTCATTTGTGGTTGGTAGTTTCTTATTTTTATAAATTATTATTTTTAATTTATTAGCTTATTTTCATTAACTTAATTGACACTTTTATGTGCCTAATGACTTCAAGTTGTGGTTTCAAAAGCACTCAGTAATCTATTTTTAAAGTTGTCTCTTTAAAATAAAATAAATACTCAAAGTTTCACCTTCAGTTTCTAACAGTTAGGCTTTTGTTAAGTATAAATTCCTAGAAATCAAGGCGTTATCTAAGTAAAAAATTGTAACAAAAGGTTTTGACAGTTGTCCTTGCTATATACATTTTTCTATTTCCTAGTAGGCCCTATTTTTCCCATTTAAATGCTATCCTCAAAACACCACCTGACTTCCTCAACACTAAACTGGTCTTAATTGTCTTTGGCATTAAATGAGTTTACCATACATTAACGGGTTTATGACCCACCTGTAGCTACACTTAACTTGGCTCTTAGCCATTCGTCGCGCGTAAATAAACCGCAGCAGACCCCAAAACTCACCTTGAGACGACTGACACACCTGAACTAAAAAGCGTCGCGCAGCATCATTCGAGCCACGTTAAAAAAGGCAATTTTTCTCCATCTTCTCCGGTGTTGCTGGTGTCACTTGTGCACTACAATTGCAAATTCCCCACATCTCAGTGGCTTGTTTTTCCACAGCCTCTTATTTTTTTTTTTTTTTTTGTGATTTTGCACCTTTTCTCTTTTTGTCTGTCGGTCTGTTTGTCAGCCCCTTCCAACGACTGCCGGTCGTCGCCTAATTACCCATTATTATCTTCGAAAGTGCACTCACAAAAGTGCATCTAATGCATATATGCATTACAAATGAATTATATCCATGAAGAAAATCTTAATTTCTCTGTACAAATCTCTTGTGACAAAAGGATTAAAATATTTTATAATATTTTCTATAAATTCATACTTTGGAGACAACAAATATATTTGTAAAACATTTTTAAGTAACTGATAAAACTGTTAAAACTATTTATCAATTGGAAAGCTTAGGATTTAATGCTTTACAAAGTTTTAGATACTTTTCTAAGCTATTATTAATAAAGCTAATGACTCATATAATTCTTGTGATATTATAATAAGTAACTAATTAAATAATCATTATATTTTATATTTTTCTCTGTGTGACCATCAAGAAACCACAAAAAGCCACCTAAGCCGATCAACTTTAATTGAAGACCAAAACCGAATCCAGCCGATAATCAGACACTTTTCGATCAGCCTCTGGTAGATGCGGTATTAAGCCAGAAAATAAATAAAATGTGCACCGCTGGCGATGCTGCTGCAACTGCAACTGCTACTGCGGATGATGGTGGAGCCAATACAGGTGGTGGTGGTGGTGCTGGTGCCGCCGAAACATCGGATACCCATACAATTGCCCCAGGTTCGACGGCCTTGAACCCCAGCGCCACTCAGGTAAATACCACAGGTGACTAGCACGAATATGTGCTGACCAACATACATATTTTTGATTCGCTTTTGTTGTTTTTACTCCCCTGGTGACTCCCCTGAAGCTCTTCCCCCTCTTACCCATTAACAATCTTATCCTACAACAAATAATACAACAAAAAAATAAACATACAAATAACAAAAACGAAGCCACTGAAAAAAAATCGAGCAAAACCAGTTTGGTTTTTTGGCTCGCTGATTTCAACCGGGACTAGGTCTGGGTCTCAAAGTATTATGTGACCGACCGATCTGTTCGGATAAAACTTATGATCAGGTTTAAAATAAAAGATCAATGCAATCCAAATGAAGGCTTTTTATTGGGTTGATATGAAATAGTTTGAAAGTCAAGATCATGGTAGTTAGTAAATGGTGATTAAACGAAGTTTAATTATGATTATAAGAACCAGTTCTCATGCACTTAATTGTTTGAATAAGACTTTAGAGAACAGTGCTTATAAGCTTGGTCTTTATTTACTTAATTTAGCTGAAAATGGTTAATTGTTTCTTTAAATTGTTTGGAGACAGGAAAATACTTCAAACCACAAGTTTAGTTGCATTCAGATATGTTTATAATGTTTTATAATAAATTGTTTGGGTAATTTGAATACTTGTACGGATTATGTTTTTATTTTTTGCTTAAAGTTTTATTATAGAACAAAGGACTAACATATTAATGCTTTCCACCAGCAGCCTTAACACCTCTTTCCATGACTTTAAAAGTCAAGTTTAAGGTTTTATGTATTAAAATAATGCGGTTGGGGGACAAAATAATAAACCTTGACTTTTGAGTATAATATATAAACTAAGCTTGGGGACAACTATAGAGAAACTTTGTATTTTCGATTTTAATTACAATTTTTAATGGCACACCTAGGTAAATTGAAAGTTACATACAACACTTCCCCGGAACCAACTGTCAGTCAAATACGATAATATCAAAACAAATAAAAATACGATTGAGTTCCAACCAAGCGTCAAGGGTCAAAAGAGTTAAGCAAAGATTTGTCTAGAGCATGATGACAGGCACCGACAACGAATCGTTGCTGGAAGAGGGTGATGGCCAGCCTCGCTTGACCATTTGGCAGAAGGTAATTGGGAGTCCAAGTACCATTCCCTTATTTATATATATATCGGTGCACCCACAACTAGATTATCTTCTTTATGCTGGGACTGATCGTAGCTCTGACCATCTGCGTCCTGATCCGACTGTCCAATCGATTGACCGCCGACGCCGAGCTAAAGGCACTGAATCACTTCCGCGAGATCTCTGGTCACAGTGGCCACTTATTTGGCCACTAAAACCTCTGTTTATCCACTCTATATTTTTTTATGTTTGTCTTTCGCCTTTTTTTATCTTTTGGTTTGTTTACTTGCAAATTGTTTAAATAAAGTGCTAAATGATTGAAATGCGGAATAAGTTATGACTGCGGTAGTGGCAGCTCCGCGGGCTAGAGTGCAAATTAAACAACAAGCAATTAGCCAAAGATCAGGAAAAATTTTAAATCAACGTCAGTAACGTTATTTCATTGATTATTTAAACACCCGCATCGGATGGGCTTACGCTGCGTATGAGTGATGCGGGCGGTGCTTCTCATTTTTTCGTTTTTACGCATAGTTTAAATTATTTATAAATTGGTATTTGATGAATTGTAATAGACAATCCTTTGCTTTTCTAGGTAACAATTGAATTGAATTCCCATGAAGTTCTTAAGCCTGAAAAAACCAGTTGGCGTGGTCGTCTTCAATGGATTTTGGCACCCATGCTCAGCGCAGCCACTGGGTTGATCCTTTATTACCAAGGACCCTGGTATGGATTGGCCACCTTCTATGTGAGCTTGGTAGCCGCTCTGCTGGTTCGTCCTGGATGGCGATGGTTCTATATAGCAATGGTAACCACTCCCAGAGATACCAGGTGAGTAACTGGCAGTGTTATAGTTCAGAAAATGAATTGAAAGATATCCTGAAGAATCTTTGAAAATGCTTGTTTTAAAAATATAATATATACTTTAAAATAAACATTAAATTATTCAGATTTATTCGCATCAAATACCCTTAAGACCCCATCACTGTGGTTTATAAATGTCTTTACTGATTTTATCAGTTCTATCATAAAATCAATCTATCTTATAGGATATATGATAGCTTGGCAGCTAGAGAAAAAAGTTGGTCTTACAACGATTGATTAATATTCTTCAAATTGTTTAAACCGGTTCTTAGTTTGGTTTAAATGAAGTTTATTAAAACTAGAATTTACCGATAGAACTAATTTTTTATAGACCTCTTTGGTTTTATTTTAAATGAACTTTTCTTTTTCAGAGCTCTCTTTTCCTACATCCGTGTTCTGCTGTTCATCAAACGGCAGGAGAGGAAGAATGTGAACATCGGTGATATCTTCGAGGCAAATGTGGCTCGGCAGCCCGATAAGTTGGCCATTGTCAGCGAATCCCAGCAGTGGACCTTCCGGCAGCTAAACGAACACTCCAACCGTGTGGCCAACGTCTTCCACAGTCATGGGTACAAGAAGGGCGATGTGGTGGGCCTGCTGCTGGAGAACCGAGCCGAGTTCGTGGCCACCTGGCTGGGTCTATCCAAGATCGGAGTAATTACCCCACTGATAAATACGAATCTCCGGGGAGTATCTCTCCAGCACAGCATTACGGTGGGCCAGTGCACGGCTCTCATTTATGGGGCCAGCTTCAGATCGGCAGTGATGGACATAGCCAAGGATCTGCCTGCCCACGTCGGCTTGTATCAGTTCAACGATGAGGCCAACCAGGAAATGGTGGCTTCAGAGGGACTCAGCCAAGGACTGGCCCAGCAACTAAATGGGCTCCTGGAAACAGCTGCCAAGGATAAGGTAGCCGCGGGAGCTTCCCGACCAGATCATCATGATAAGTTGGTGTATATTTATACCTCGGGAACGACAGGTTTGCCCAAGGCAGCAGTCATCACGCATTCACGGTGAGTTAGGGTCTTGTTCCTTAAGCAAAGATTAACCTCATAAACTTATCTCAATGAATCCCCTCTTTCAGATACTTCTTCATATCCGCTGGCATTCATTTTACACTTGGTTTTAAGGATCAGGATGTTTTCTACACGCCCTTACCCCTATATCACACTGCTGGCGGAGTGATGAGCATGGGACAAGCTCTCCTCTTTGGCTCCACGGTGGTCATAAGAAAAAAGTTCAGTGCCTCTGGATATTTTGCCGATTGCTCACGGTTTCAGTGCACAGTAAGATCAATGTTCTCTATCAAAATCGAATGCTAAATATATCCTACCTTTCCCAAATCCCCTCTAGGTTGGCCAGTATATTGGAGAGATGGCTCGCTATATCTTGGCCACACCATCTGCTCCCCATGACCGCAAGCACCAAGTCCGCATGGTGTTTGGCAATGGATTGCGTCCACAGATTTGGCCACAATTCGTCGAGCGTTTTGGAATCGGAAAGGTGGGTGAATTCTACGGAGCCACCGAGGGTAATGCCAACATTATGAACAATGACAGCACCGTGGGAGCCATTGGCTTTGTGTCCCGGATTATGCCACAGATCTATCCCATATCGATCATTAAAGCAGATCCTCACACCGGTGAGCCTTTGAGGAATAGCAAAGGACTCTGCGAGCGGTGTAAGCCCGATGAGCCGGGCGTGTTCATCGGAAAGATTGTAAGGGGTAATCCCTGCCGCGAGTTCCTGGGCTATGTGGACCAGAAGGCCTCCTCCAAGAAAGTAGTGCACGATGTCTTCTCCAAGGGTGACATGGCCTTCATCTCGGGCGATCTTCTGGTGGCCGATGAGCGTGGCTATCTGTACTTCAGGGATCGCACAGGTGACACCTTCCGCTGGAAGGGGGAGAATGTGTCCACCAGTGAAGTGGAGGCGCAGATAAGCAATCTGGCTGGTTACAAGGATGTCATTGTTTATGGGGTCAGCGTACCTCATACCGAAGGCAGAGCTGGAATGGCTGCTATCTACGATCCCAGTCGCGAGGTGCAGGTCAGTCAGCTAGCCGTGGAACTAGCGAAGGCACTTCCCAGCTATGCGAGACCCCAGTTCCTGAGATTCCTGCGAAGGATTGACCTCACGGGCACCTTTAAGCTGCGCAAGGTTGAGCTCCAGCAGCAGGGCTTCAATCCGGATATTGTAGACGACGAACTGTACTATGTCCAGCCAGATGGCGTGTATGCTCCACTCACCTCATCCATTTACGAGAGGATCCAGAGGAACGAACTCCGCTTTTAGGAGCCCCCCAGACTTCCCTATAGACGAGGAGAAGTCAAGACTGTGCCCCATACATACACATGTATATAAGTAAAATGGATTCTGGTTGCTTCCAATCTGAATTTCGATTAGGTTTAACCTGGTAAAGTTGATTATTTCGCTAGCATTAAAGTAATGTTAAAAAGAGAAAAGTTATTATTAATGAAATGTTTTCTTGGGGAACATATTGAAAATTATAGCTTTATATGATTTATGTTCTTTTAAAAACAAGAAAAAATACTATATTTTCAGCAATCTCTATAAGGAATGGTCTTTTAACCTAATATGAATTCAAGCTAGTTATAATTTGATAGTATTTTATTGTGCTAGCGTTAAATAATGTTTAAAAAGGAAACTTACAAATGAAATAGCATCAGAAACCACTATTCGTTATAACAAAGAGTGGTTAGAATTTCTAATATTCCCTGTTGATTCCAATCGAATTGGGTCTAGAATTGCTCAAATCTCAGCTTTCTATTTAACTAAATACTATATTTAATTAATGGAAAGCGTATTCAAGATAGAGAAATTTTTAGCAATATCTAAGACCAAATTCGACTTGGTATGTCTGGGAAAACATGAGTGTACAAAATACTTTCAGCAGTCTCTAGGCGAACGCACTTAATCCTTGGGCGGCACATCCTTGTTAAGCTCCGCCCGCTTCTTCTCCTCCATCCGCTGCTCCACCTGGTCCAGTCTCTCGCTCATCGCGTCCAGAGAACTTAGTAACCCCGCCTGAATCTCACCATACCGCTTCATAGCCAACACAAGACTTTCCTCTATGAGCTCACTTTGCTGTGCATACTCGCCGTTGTTCTGAGTGATTTGCTTCAACTGATCCAGACACTCGCTGGGAATGCTGCGGAAGTACTCCGCTCCCAGGGCCGGCTCCAGTTGCTTTATCCTCTCCAGTTGCTCGGCCTGGGTGCTCAGCTCGGGAGCCACGGCATGCAGGTAGACCTCCTTGGATCGTACCTGCTGCTGCTCCTCCAGGAAGTTGGGATCCAGGTATTTCTCCAGTTCGGGAGCTCGCTTCACGCACTGCTGCAGAGGAACACTTCCCGTGGTGGCTTCGCCCAGAAGTGCGTGTGCTGAGCACAGTGCGTCCACCACGCCCTCGCCCGACTCTGGCGCATCGGGCAGGGGACCCAGGACTCGCGTCAGGGCATCGATGCGCTTCTCCAGGATGTCTAGGGCTTCCATATTAGCAGAACTTATCTTTGTTTTGTTTTCTTTTTTTTTTTCTTTTGGAATGATGTCAGGCGCAGTGTGACCACAACGCGACTTCTAAAATATACCACCCAGTGTGTACACACTTCTTATTAATTATTTAAAAAACTTAAAATTTATAAAAGTTGTAAATTTAACACATAATTTTAAATATTTTATATAGCACTTCACAATCGTTGGTTCTCTGATTCAAACGCGGCTCACATTTATGATTTTCAATCTTTATCCTTAAACCGATTTAGCACGTTAGAGCTTAAAATTCTCAAGAGATAAGGACTCCGCATCCTTGTTGATCTGCGCCAGATTGTCCTCCGATATGATGCGCACCACATCAGCGTCCGGTTCATCGCCGGCGGAATCGTCCAGGACACACAACAGACCATCGTTCTCCATGTAGGGAAAGAAGAACTCGGGTTTGTCCCAGCTAGCCTTGTTACCGATACCACAGTGTGACTCTTGGGCCATGTGCTCCGCCAGCAGCACCTGATCATCAAAGTGGAGGTCACAAGTGACGCAGCGCAGCATGCAGATCTGGCGGCGCAGGTAATTCACAACCTTTACCCTCTGATAGAAGTTAAGGGAACTGGTGGCACGATCAAAATCCAACTGATGGGTCTCGTTCATGTGCTCCTTGAGGTCGGCAAAGTTCTCACCCAGATGGGAGCAGAACAAGCACTTGATAGCACTCGGTTCACCATCACCCGCCCAGTCAGACCAGTCCGAATCGTGTTCACCATCCGAATCGGGTCGGGCAAAGTGCTTGTCGAAGTCCACGCTGCCGGTTTCCAGATCAACGGATGTAGACACGGATGCTGAAGCCTGTCTTCGCTTTTGGTGGTGCTGCTTCCGTGGAGTTGGTACCGTTGGTCCACGGTTATAGTTGATGAGGAAGTATTTGTCGTACTCCTTACGATTTGGATTTATCCGCTTGTGCCCCTTCTTGCGCATGTGCTCCTTGAGTGTTGGCCGATCCTTGAAAATCTTCTCGCAGTACAGGCACACCAACTGATTTAGGTTTGCCTCCAAGTGATCCAGTAGCTCGTCCACATACACCAGCTTCTCTGGCTTGCCCACCAGCAGGAAGTGCTTGTCGAACAGGTGGTCTAAGTAATCCGCCCTCAGGCCCTTGATGACGGTTCTACAGAAGAGACACTCCTTGGAGAAGTTTCGGTCGGTGAGCTCGAACTGGTGCCGTTCCAGCGCTTTGCTCAAGCTCTCCTCCTTTAATCGTCGGCGCAGCTCGTAGTCCTGGGGCAGGATATCACAAAGCAGGTAGTACTTTTCGTTTTTCGAGTATTTTCCATCGGGCAGTTGGTCCAAAAACATTGTGGTGCAGTACTGCTCAAATTCGTGGCCTAAACACAAGGAATGTTAGTTAATTGATTACTTTTCTAGATTTTACAGATACGCACTCTGGAACTCCTTCTCCCAGTACTGCAAATAGTCCTCCAGCAGAGCTATTTCCTCCACATCGGCTATGACCAGACGGTGCTCCAGATAGAAGTGTGCCAGGCAGTCATCTTTGTCGGCGGGAAATATGTATACCTTGTCGCACTTGAGGCACTTAATGGCAGTATTGGCAGAGGGCTTCAATGGCGCACTGGACTTGGCCTGCTCCGGGGCCGAATCCTCAACAGAAACAGCCACCGCGTGGTCCATTGTGCTGGGGGTGTGCGATGCCAGTCCACTATATTTTGGATTATAGACAGAAAGGTTTATCATATATTTCATAATTAATGGAGGTTTTTATAAAATACTTACCCTATTTACAAAATAAACTTTCGCATTAAAACCGCAAAGTAAAAACATGGACAAAAACAATGCACAAAATTGCTCAACAGCTGACCACAAATTACAAAGAATTGGTGTTTTTAGTACCCTGCACTACGGTCTTACTGATGATGTTTCCTGGGACCAGAAGTTTGTTTTTGATTAAATCACTTGAAGTCCAAATAGTACGTTTTTATCACTTCAATGAAAAGTTAACATTTTCATGGTTTAATGTTACAAAACTGCGCTGATACCTTGGGCTTGTTTGTTTAGGTTTTATTTGGCAGTGTGCCCAGACATTGTTCATCCCAGAAAACAGAAAAGGGGTTCTTCGACAAATTTAGCTTGGTCACATTATTTCTACCGCCGCAAACAAAGTAGGGGGAGGAATCCCATTTATTTTCAAAAAAAAACCAAACACGGGAGCTTGACGTTAGCGTAAGTGGCCTACACCGCGATCGATCCAATTCGGGTACCAATTAGACAATCATCAATACCCACACACACGCCATACACACCCACACAGCCTTACCCAGTCGCAATTGCACGCACAAGCGCAAGATATAGACACGAATCTCGGTACGAATTTATCAATTTAATAAAAATTGAGACTCGTCTGCAGCGGGTACAAAGTTCGATTCGTGTGCATTCGCGTGTGCTTCAGTGTGTGTGTCTGTGCTTGTGCGTGCAAGTGCGAGGGAGAGAAGGCGTACAATATATGAAAGCTAATTCTTGCAGTCTGTGTCCAAGTGCTTTTTGTGAAAGTATTTCTGTTTCCCCGGCAAACTCGCATCACGAACATGGCTGCGCACTTCTTTCGCACTGCATTTTACGCAACGGCGGCGAGAAAATCGATGAGCCTGCCCTTCGCCGCCGGCCGGACAGCCGCCACCTTAGCCGTGGGCCTTTCCTTTGGTGGTAATTGTTTCCTCATTCCTCCGCTCCCAGCTCACATTTATTTATAATTGTTTTCGATCCGATCTGCTTTCATTCTCCCCTTTACATCATCACCGCGCCACATGTATATGTACATCACCTGTCCCCGATCCCTACTACCTGGATACCAAACAGCGCAAAATAGCCGCAGCACTGTGCCGTACGAGAATGTCTACGCGGATAGCTTCTTTGGTGGCTGCCAGTCGCCGGGATTGCTGCAGCGTCCGATGGGCGATATCCGTAAGATCCAGGCACCGCTGATCCGGAACTTCTCGAGCCTGAGCAACCAGCAGTTGCAGCAGCCGGTTCAAAATGTAAGCATATTCTGTTTTGGCAGGAGAAGAAGCCGAAATCTCAATTTTATACTTGTCTGGAGTAATCCCCTTAATTTCGAAATGCATTCCTTTAAAGCTTAAACATATTTTCGAAATTCAAAACTTCATAACTGACTAAAAGCCGTTCGTAAATTGCACATTCCATTAGCTATCCTCTGTTTATGACTAGTCAAGTTTATAAATTCTCATCCCGTAAGACCTCCATTACCATAACTTTAAAGAAAACATACTTGCTTCCAAGCTAAGTTCAAAAATTGCCGAATTACTGTTAGTCAACACTCCCCGCTTTCTAAAATCATTGTTTATAATATATTTAAAATTGTTATAGACATTTTTTTCTAATATCCTATACAATTACGTACGCTTAAAAAGTTTTACTTTTAACTTATCTCCCTTCGAAGATTAGAGTTTTAATAAATAATCTCAACAAACCTACTTTTATTCGATAAGATAACCCTGAAGTACCAAAATGAACCTAAGATTATAAAAAAAGACCTTTATGTCGCGATCAGATATAAAAAGAACACCTGTTTGATTTTTAAAGATTCAGAAACACAAGATAACAAGATCTCTTAGCTCCGAAGCCCTTTATAACTATTAAAAATGTATAATTTTCGCCTTCTGTGCTTACATACTACTGTTTCTCGCTTAAAAGGTCATAAAATCTCGACTTTGTATGCTTATAACAGCCCCGTCAAGTCTGTCTAAGGTCCGGGTTATTCGTCATATTTAACCTAAGATAATGTGTAATCTAAAAAGAGCATTCACAGACATTGTAATTTAAGCACTTGCACTTTTTGCATATCTATTGACTTTTGAATGAACTTTTGCTTATTTGTTTTTTATTTCAGATTCTTAATTTTGTGCAAAATGTAGTTTTGTTACTTTTGAAATTTGCATGCTTGAGTAATTTGTATTTCATGTACTTTGAGCCCGGCAAATGATTTCTGCGCTCTATCTCTCCATACCTCTCCCGCTTTTCCTTCGATGATTTGTTTAGATTATCTCTGTCTACATATATATGTATATTTTTTAATGATTGTTGTTCAATGCATGCAATTAGTAGAGGCTCATTAACTGCTTATACCAACCAGTAAATGGTAGAGTACATTTAAGACATTGATGTCACTGATACTGTTTGTTGTTCAACTGTAATCTATATATCATGGGCCGTATTTACGGAACCACCCTCGCATGCAGCAAGCTCAATTGAGCAATGTGGCACAGCTTTTTGTGATGATTCAAATTCTAATGGCGCCCAATGCCAAGCTTTCGCTCGAGCCTCCAAAGCGTTCGTTCTGTTTCTCTCTTATTTCCAGGCTTTTGGGCTGATTTTACCTGAAAATTGTTGCATGTGGGGTATATTGGGTTTCTTTTGAATGTTATACAGACGTTTAAACTAAGATGTCTATTTCCCCTTTAAGACTATAGTTTGGTATGTAGACAGGAAAGCCCTATACTTGATATCTAATATCTCAGGATCTATAACCATAATAACCGTACACTTTTGTATGTGAATAACTGAAAAGATTCCTATTTATCAAAAAGTATCCCCTAGTCGAAACACTTTAGTCACTTCTCCCACAGGGGACTGAGTCTTCCAGTGTCGCATTGTATGTAATTTAAACCAATGCCGCAAAAAGTGAAAAAAGCATATTCTTATATATATATATAGAAACCCACACAACAGCTAAAATAACTATTTTCCATGGGGAATGTAAGCTCGCCTCAATTCCGCTCAACTATCCACGATCGTTCCACTGGATCGCTGGATATAGGCTACTATGTGGATCAGTCAGTTAGTCAATGTCGATGCACCTGCTTAGTTTTATCTTTTAATATGGACTTCCTCATTGAGATAACGTTGCTGGTGATATTAGCGGTAATACTGCTGAAAATCTATCATCGGGCGAAGCGTGTGAGTAGCCGTGAACTCTCGCCAAGAGGTTCAAGTGCAAAAGTGTCAAACTAAAGTGAAAGTCCCTTCCAGCCAGCCTCTCTATCTCTCTGTGTCGGTCTCTCATGTTGTGTCATCATTTTGTTCTTCAATTAATATGATTTTGCTCTTTTTCCATAACGAATTTATGCGGGAATAATTTCACTAATCTAAATTGCAACTTCTTATCGTTGTACTTCGCGTGCCTATCTTTGAATCCATGTCTGGCTATCAGTTTAGCCTTGCTAAAATGTAGGGAAAAAAGAACCCAAAACCTTTGCACATTTAGTTGCTCTTTCGCCTTCGTGCCAATTTGTCGCTTGTTCAAAGAGAATTTTGATAATTGAAATCCTAAAGCAATTATACGGAAGCAAAACAGTATATATTGTACGGCTGCAGTAAATAATCGGCCAAGTTATTAGTCGCCTTAAATAGTTGCAAAGTTATCATTGTAATTTAATATCTTGCCCAGCAAAGCTTACAATTCCCATAAATAGTCCAAACGCACGACCACCTGCATAAGCCTTATCGGGAAAAGGTTGGCTTATCATCACGTTTACGGTGTCTTTCTCAAGGTCAGCAGCAGCAGCAGCTGTTGCTGAGGATAAATCAGAGCTATATCAAATGTCCGCCTTAATTTGCATGGATTTCGGTGGAATCAGCCGATCAGGCCATTATTCTAGGCACTTTGAAGCTTCCTATCTAATCGGTTGCGATTAGCTGCTCAGTTACTCGACCTATCCAATCCTTCCCTTGCTATTACTAGATTAATCTATGAAATCGGGAGAGTCCAGACGGTTGATCATATATATATATATATATATATATTTAAACAGCTTTTTAAACACTTGCACTTGTATTTATTTGAATTTTTATGTATGTAAATTGCAGCTGTGTTTATTTTTAGTTTCATTTCCCCTAACCCCACTAATCATATCTCATATCAGCTGTTTGAAAAATTCCGATAATAATTGTTTTTTCTTTGAATGCAGAGCACCATGGCCCCGTCGAAGAATCGCCGGTATATATCATCTCAGGATATCACCAAGAATATGACCCTCTACACCAACAATAAGACGCATGTCGAGTTTGATCCCAAGACGCTGGCCTTCAAGAAGCCCACCGGCAATCCTCTGGTCCTGATGATGGCCTGGCTAATGGCCAAGCAGAAGCACCTGAAGAAGTACGCCCAAATCTACACGGATATGGGATTCGATGTCATGGTGGTTCACATTACACCGTGGCAACTCCTGTGGCCGGTCAAGGGAACCCAGGTAAGTTTTTCTTTGCCGTTTTTCTACCAGTTCAGAAGCTAATGATTCCCCCTAATCCTCAACCAGGTGGTGGCCGCCGAGACTCTGCGTTTTTTGGAGAACAACAAGTCGTATGAGCCGATCGTGATGCATGGCTTCTCGGTGGGCGCCTACCAGTTGGGCGAGATCATGCTGCAAATGTCGCGCGACATGGATCGCTATGGCAGCATCCTGGATCGCTTTGTGTGCCAGGTGTGGGACAGTGCCGCCGACATCACCGAGATTCCCGTGGGCGTGCCCAAGTCGATTTTCCCCAAGAATGAACGCATGCAGAGCGCCCTGCGCAACTACACGCTGTATCACTTGAAGACATTCCACAACCAGGCCACCATCCATTATATGCGCTCCAGCCAGATGTTCCACTCCACCCTGCTCAAGGCCCCGGCGCTGTTCTTTGTGTCCGACAACGATCCCATCGGACCGCCGTCCTCCAATCAGGCGGTGCGCGACAACTGGGAGCGGGCAGATATTAAGTGCACCTTCAAACGCTGGGAGCGATCGCAGCATGCCGCTCACTACATTAAGCATCGGGATGAGTATCTGGAGACATTGTTCCATCATTTGGATGTCTGCGGCGTCCTAGAGGCCATCGGCGTGGACAAGCGCGCCAAATTGTAAGCGGAGAAGGAGCCGCTCACGAATTCGGTGATATACATTTATTCAAGAATCAATGCGATTATGATTTTATTCTAGCTGCTAAGACCTAAAATTTAAAACAAGAAAACGAATATAAAAGCAAACCCAATGTCCCATTCGTATAATTATGATCTGTATGGAATTCCTAGACTAAGCTTAATGTCGTATTGCATCAAAACAGAGAGAAACGAATGCTCCACGCTCTATATATTGTTATATTGTGAGATCACTGCGTAAACGGCTAAATAAAGTAATTTAATTGAAGGAAAAAAGAATAAATATGTAAAAACAATAAAAAAAAAAGTACAACCAGTACCAGACAATCGCTGCGGACAGGACTTGAACCTGTGCGGGTAGAACCCAATGGATTTCAAGTCCATCTCCTTAACCACTCGGACACCGCAGCTCGTGGAATCAGACGTTCCAAAAGCGGCTTTTGCTTCAAATGCCACCCTCGCCCCCTCTCTGTCACACATAGAATGTCGGTAGCACAGTGTGTGGATAAGGTATAATATTAAAGCAGTATGGTGCTTAACATTTTGTGTTAGAACTAATTTGCACTGCTTCCACAAATCGGGATCGTCGTGTACACTGCTTTGTTCACAGTTCCAATAAGAATACTACAGACTCGAACCGGGACCAGGTAATAAGTTTCTTGTTAACCAAGTTTTGCACCATTAAACATACACTACCTTCCAAAATGATAGGAACTAAATATATTGAATTAAACATATATTAATTAAAAATATTTATATATATATTTATGTGATAAAAATAAAGTCACTCAGGATTTTCAGTAAGTCAAAATTACTTCAGTCAATTATTATCAATATTTTTACCATAGTTCTATTAATTTATATTTTATAGATAGTAGATAGTGATATAGAACAACACAAAAATAAGTTTATTACTTATTGAATTGTGTCGATCTTGACCCAAGCTAATTGGCTTGTTTTACATATTATTATTTTGTTTGAAAAGTTCGTCTTATTTAACTGGATCATTAAATTATACGTTTTTTTTTACTTGTAGAGTAAACATGAGCATTAAATTATAATTTTATTTTACTTGTAGAGTTAAAAAGTATAAAAAACTTAGAATTTAATTCTCGAAACACACAAGACAGGTAAATTTTCAGTTAACATTGTACACGTTTTTTCTGGAATCGAAAAAATGACTATAAATGGAAATAGACAGAAATGTATATTTTTAAAACAGAGAATTGTAATTTGTTATTGCAATGGTGCTTATATGATTTATTCGTTCGATTGTAATTAAATAAATATAAAAAATCTAGAAAATATGTTAAATAAGTAAAGAAACTAACTTCGGAATGCCGAAGTTTATATACCCATGCAGTTAGCAAATTATATTTGGGGTCTAATCGGAAATCGGTCATACTAAGATTAAAATATTTTCATTCTTTATTTCTTTCCATTTATCAGTATTTTATGAGTTTTTTTTTCGACAAATTAAAGTTTAAAAAACTCACAACTCCGACAAAAATGAATTAATTTTAATTCGGAAAACGTTCATTTGTTTGTTTTTATAGTATTAATATGTCTAAATACTCAATTTAAAATTTACAAAAATTAAAATTTTCATCAATTTTTAAAAATTTTAACGTTGTAACCCCTTATTTGGAAAAATTAAAAAATATATATGATTTATAGGGTCGGAAGAATCTGACTAAAATTATAATACCTTTTAAGGGTGTACGAAATGTTAACCGATTCTCTTGAATTACCAAAAATTAAATTTTAAGTAGAAATGATTTCAATAATTATCTTATAATTAGCGTTACCCAATCAAAACACGTTTCTTGTAAGGCTCATTTATTTATTAATCCCTTTTGGTTAATTAAGCAGAGTCCTTGACAATATGTGCGCAGGATTACTGCCCCCGAATTCTTAGTCATTCGTTTCCTAGATCTCGCTAAAGCTAAAGAGTTAACGATCGATTTGTGTTGTATCTTTTGTTGTTGGGAGGAGGATTAAGTTCGCAATTCAAAATCAATAGATCTTTCACATATGCACTACATTTGGGGAGGGATTGGGGTTTAATTGGGGGCTCTTAGATATCTACCAATTCGTTTCGTTTTAATTAAAGTCAGATTAAAAATTTTCACTAATATCACTTTCTAGAAATTTGTCCAATTCGTATTCTTCGTTTAAAACTGATGTGTGTAAATATGCATTAAAGATGTATGTATGTACTGGTTTGTATATGAAATTTGATTTGTTTTGGCGATGTGCGGCGGTAAATGAAATAAAAAGTAAACATAAAAGCGTAATTTAAATAATTTGCATTTATTTAAAAGAGTTAAAAAATAACTAATTTAATAATTGAGTAGTTTTTCAAGTGTTCTTATGTTTTGCTCTCTCTTCTGTTCTCTTATTTTGTTTTTTTTTTTTGCATTTCCTTTTCGTTTTGGGGTAGGCGTTTATCTTACGTACTAATAAAATATGCAAGTGAGGGTGTGCTTCGATCGATGTGTGTGTGTGTGTAAGATGTGTTTGTGTGTGTCTGGATTAAGGACAAATATAAACAATAATTAAAAACTTAGCAGTGAGTTCTCTCGTTTTTATAAAATGTACAAAATGTAATTAATAAACATAAAAAATGTATTAATTAAACTAAACAAAAAAGCACAAGAAAATTGCCGGTCCAATGCCTACAATTATTAAAAATTTCGTTATGCCTAATTATCAACTATATGATATATATATATATGTATAATCTTGTATAATTGTATTTGTATAATTGGTTTCGTAATATATATATATATATATTTAAAACTACAATTTATAACACGTCACGCCACGACGTAAACAAACAAAGGCCAGGATATAGATCGATATATGTGTGGGGTGTGTGTGTATATATATTCATATGTATATGCACTTGGTAACTAACATACTAAGCTAAATAATTAAATTTTTTAACTGCAAAATGCGCAGCACACACAAGATTAAACGGGGCCTGCGGTTTGCAGTTTTATCAACAAACAAATAATAAAAATTAAAAACCTATCATCTTTTCGAATTTTGATTTCAAATCGCTTTGATACATATCGGGTTCTGCATTACGCGTACTTTATATATTATATATTTGTAAAGGTGTCTATGTATATGCATATGCGTGGATCGGGTGTGGGCCTCGGGTTTTGGGTCTCTCCATGCATCCTTTAACGTGGTCCCTACTCCACTGCAAAGCCGCAGGTTTCCTCAACGGCCTGCGTTAGTTTGTCGCAGAGCAGCTGATACGTCTCGTAGGGTGGCAAATCGATCCGATTAAAGCAGGTGTGCGCCTTGGGCAGGTTCTGTGTGGGCACATCCGCGGTTAAATGAATGGTAAACAGTCGTGGTCCCACTGCTCCCGTAGAGCCTTGTAAAGCCCGGAATCCCTGCAGCGGTACACGCGACGATCCCGTCACAAACTGCAGCAGGCGAGCTCGCATCTCGGAACTGTACGACTCGACCACCTTGGAGATTCAAGATTTATTGATTATTAAAATGCAAAAAAAGCTGGCATAGCAGAAAATGGAGCCGATACTTACCTGCCAGAACCACAACACCTGCGTGGTCTCATTCGTACAGTGCTTCAGTCTCGTATTGTTGCGCCAGTCGTTGACATCAATGCTAGAGATGCCGCCAATGACCAATTCCAGTTCGCGCTCATCAAACGGTCTCAGCAGCGGGCTGGGTATAAGCTCACAAAATCCTATGCAATATACGATTACTTTTACATTTCTTGAGACAAACTAAATTCCCAAAGGCTTACCTTTCTGCAGAGCCAGAAACTGTTGTTCGATGCCGCGCATAAATCTATAGTTCACGTAGAGCTTTACATACTCCCGCTTGTTCTCCTCAGTCACGGGTATGGAGGCACCTCCAGGCTTCAGTTCGTGCACCACCAGAGCTCCAAAGCTATTGTTCTCCACACTGAACGTGGACTCAATGATGCCGCTGATGTTGCTCTCCCTGAAATCAGAAAAACAATAAGAACCAATGCAAAATTTCACATAAATCCTAAACTCACAGCATCCAGGTGAGGCTACGATGCAGCTCGGGATCCACACCCTCGATGTCGCCCAGCGTGATTGGTTTGTTCAGCAGCTGCTTGTAGAAGGGCGTGGTGAAGCCACCATCCAGGCAATGTCCATGGAACACAGCGATGCCCAGTGTGCGTCCCACGAAATGGAAGTAGGACAAGTGATCAGGATTCACTCCCGAGTCTGGATTAATTTGCAGCGTATAGTGGTCATCGCGGCTGTACTGGAACAGGCCATACTGCGGATTGAGCATCTCGCGGGAGAGCAGGTGCAGCCACTCGCGAGCTACGCCGCCATAGTCCAGGCCCTCTTCGCCCTTAAACTTAACCATTAGCCGCTTGCGCATGTCCTTGCCCCGCATCTTCATAATCAGTCTATAGCTCTCCTCGAAAATCTCGTTGCGCGACACCTCCAGACGGCAGTGGCCGGATTGGGGCTGCATCGTTTGCAGCTCGGTGCGCAGAGCCCGAAGCTTGCCCACCAAATCGCGACGGTACTTGGGCAATAGGTCGGCGCTCTCGAGCAATCCCTGCGGCAGATCCGGCACAATGCGATGTGGGGTGTTAGTTGTAGTTGTAGTTGTCGTCGTTGCAGTCGCTGTGGCGTTCGCTGGAACGGCTGCTGTCGCTGCTGATTGCATGGCAGTTGCAGGTGCGGCAGCTGGAGGAGCGGGCGCTGCTGCATTGCTACCCGCTCCACGTCGAATCATGCTCAGAATGCTGCCACTGAGGCGAGGATCTGTAAACTGGGTCGTTCGATTGTTGTGGTCCACAAAGTACACTCTTCCCGAGGCCGTCTTCCGCTGCTCCCAGCCACTGGGCAACGGTCCAATTGTTTCCAGCGTTAGGTGTTGGGTGTCAAAGTCACGAGGTATCCGTGGATCGTGCCATGTGGACACTCCCGTCGGTATGTGGAAGAAGTACACCTGTCCCTGTTGCGTTGTCCGCATTTCATAGCCCGGCGGCAGGTCCAGAAACGGACGTGCTGCCTGATTGGCGGCAGCAATGGCCGCGGATGCATAACGCTGGCTCGACGATCCTCCACCGCCAGAGGTGCCACCATTGCGAGTTCCTCGCGAGGAGCGACGCCTCGTGGAGGACTCCTCTCCCTGCTGCCGTGAACTGCGACGCTGCGAGCGCTGACCGGGTGTGGCGGCTGTATAGGATCGGCTTCCACCGCTCACCGATGTGCTGTTCGCATTCGGACTGTGCACATTCCCATTGGCCGAGGGCGTGACAGGAGCTGGCGGCGATGCATTAGGTGTTGATGGACTCTGGTTATGCCTAGGAGGAGTTGTAGTCGCCGTTGCAGTCGTTGTCGGCGTCGTGCCCGTTGAGGTATCCTCCTGCGTCCATCCATTGCTGGCACTCTGGGGCTGCGCCGCCTGTCCACTTCCGGTTCCACTGTTATTTCCACTCTGAGCATTCCCGTTCACATAGTTCTGCTGTCCCGTCGGCGATGTGGGAGTGGCCTCTGGCTGAGCATGGCCATTTGTTTGGTGCTTTGGCGTTTTCACATGATTGTCGTTGCTGTGCAGGCGACTCGGCGTCGATGTCGTCGTCGTGCTACTGGTGGGCGTGGCCGGTTCGTTTGTGGGACGTTGCTCTAGAGTACGACCTCCTCCCGACGACGATGAGGAGGACTTCTTGCCAGGCGTTGTAGTGGCTGACACGGGCGTCGTGGGGCTGGTGTTCTCCTTGCCCACACTGGACAGTATCTCCGTAGAGTGACGCCGTTCATCATTAGCCGTCACCGCCAAGTCCCGATTGCGATTGCCACCATTAAGCAGATTCGTGCAGGTGGTGGAACGCGTGGGACCTGCCGGCGCCTGTCGATCACCGTTGTTGCCATTGTGTGTGTTGTGGCGTTGCTGCGGCGATGTGGCGCCTACGGGATGCCTGGGTCTGTCCCATTGCGTCGACTTGGTGGCATGGTTAACATAGTAGATACGACCATTGTCAGTGCGCCGCTCTTCCCAGCCCTCAGGCAAGCTGTCCTCCGACGAGTCATCCTCTGAGGGTCCACGAACATCACCACTGGGTCCTACAATGGCCAACGGATTGCCACTGCCAGGGCCATCCTTGGAGAGCAGCGAGATAATGATCTGACCGCGAACCAGCTCATCGTCATCCGGTGACAGTTTGCCCAGATCCAAGCGTTGAACTATTTGGATTGAGAAAGTACATGTGATTAGAGAGTTTGCTCCTGTTATAGAGAAAAATAGAGATCAACTTACATCCTGCTCCCTTGAGGCTTTGTATGTTGAAAGCGGGTATCCTCACACATCCCAGGAATCCACTGCCCTTGTGTATCTTGCGCTGGTTCCACACGGTTATCGTGATGGCATCGCCGATGCCCAGAAACAAATCGTAGTGTGCGTTCCATTTGGGATCCAGCGAGGATTTGCTTATCTCCGTTGTATACACCTGGCCAGTGCCATCCACTTGAACCTTGGCAAATGGATCGGGCAGACCTATTCGAACAATAAATAAAATAAAATTAGTTAAGTGAATTAAAGTTTATTATAGAACCAGAAGTGAAACTATCTTGAGGAAGCCAAAGTTAATATACCCTTGCAGTTGGCAATTGAATTATATAAACGAATTAGTAATCCATGATAACTAAGTTTAAAATATTCGCTTTCTTTGAATCGATATTTAAATATATATTTATAGGACATTATTTTCGATAAATCGAATATTAAAAAACTCATAACAAAGCCAAAAAACATTAACTTTGGAAAGCAGTCCAATCTTTTTATTAGGCTTATTAATCTGCATACTCATTTTTAAATTTAAATTTGTTTAAATTTTTATCTATTTTTCAAAATTTTAACGATGTAAAGGGTTTTCCTTAAAATATAGCTAGATCGATTCGGCTGTTGATGCTGATAATGAATAGATATGATTTATAGGGTCGCAAATGACTCCTTCACATCGTTACAAGCTTCTGATCCCTTAGGGGTATAAAAAATGGATCTATTATCTATTATCTTATATTTTCTTTTGAATGAATAGTTAACGAGATATTGTTCTGTGTAAACATTCAACCTATTGTCAGTTATAATCATGGTTATACTGCATTTGGTTGTGGCAAATGAGTCAATTTTACACTATAAATGAATGTTTAGTGTTAAATGTGAATCAAAAACCATTATTGCACACGAAAAATGAAACTATTTAAGTTTATTGGTTTGACTTTAACTTGTTTAGTTTGTATCAATCATGGAGCGCATCAAGTTCCTCGTGATTCTCCTGCTGCTGATGTTGTTACACTTGTACAGGACCTTGGCTGGATATATCCATCAGCATCCTGGCTTTGCCCAACGTCTGCAAATAAAACCAGGCTGCTTGCAGGTGCCACAAAAATACACCGAAGCTCCAACAACAGAGCCTATAATCTTCTCTTCCTTGGAGGAGGTCAACAATGCAGAGGCAGATTAATACGAATCCCAGAGCAGAAGTTCCCCCGATTGTGTGAGTTCCCGTTTCAGTTTTAGTGGCTTATCGCTTACGGGGGACAGTACCCACCAGCTGAGATGAGCTGAGACCTATATAAGCACAGCCCCTCCCAGTCAGTGATCATCACAAGCAAATAATAAGTAATGGATTCAACATCAACTTGGATTAACCTGCTGGGACTTCTGGCCATTATTCTGTTCGTAAACCTGGCCGCAGGAGAACCATTTCCCTTTGACGAGAGACGCCACAGGGGCTGGAATCCAGTACCAAGACCAATGCCGCAGATTCCTACCACACCACCTTTTAATCCCTATGGTTAATAAAAAAATAAATTATATCTTTCACAAATCCAAATGAATATCAACTTTAGGCATAGTTTATTTAAAGAATTTCATAAGAATATTACCAATCATTCGGCATATTCAAATCTGTCCCCAAATAGACATTCTAAATTTAGTCTTAGCTTCTCAGAATCAAATTCAAAGTTCTCCTTTAAAGTGGGACAACTTTTCTATGCTTTTTAACCTAAGGGCAGGGAATGTCAATTAAATCTGAACAATGCTTCAATGAAAATGTTTACATCTGAGCCAAACCAAACGGTGAATGCGGTCAAGTGTCATTAGTCAGAAGATAGAGATATGGAAACAAAAATGTGCAGAGTTCTCTGGAGGAGCCGGAAGGGAGCCGGGGAATCTATCTGCCAATCTCCGCTATCAGAATAGAAATATATACATTCATACAAAGTAGGAACCCCCGCTGCCGCTGCTACATTCGCTTATCGTCTTAGGCGAACCCACCGATAATGCCTCGAATCTTGACAAATTAAGCGCATGGCATTCCGTCTGAATTAAACAATTAAGAACTATCGAGCCGGGCTGGTTAAGGGGGCACATGGATGATTTACACAGACCACCAGACCCGACCAAACCCAACCAGTCAGTTGCTCGCGGTTCGACAGCTTCTGACTCATGGCCCGGTTACCACCGGCTGAATATCGCAACTAGGTTTTTTCGCACTCCCATATTTGTATCTATATCTATATCTATTCGTGAATCGTTATCTCAAGGCTGTGGTGGCCGCTCGTTGTCACGGCTAGGGCCACGAGTAAGGCACAGGCGGCACTGGCCCTGTCATCAGCTGGCAAGGAGGACCTACCCGATCCGACCTGTTTGTCTTGGCCAGGTAACTTGAGTAGGCCATATTGCAGCGTCTGTGTCGCCAGGCAGCTGTTGATTGATTTTATGCAACAGAGAACACACAGAGTGAGGGCAAAGGCAAAAAGGAGTAAGAGGTAGGTAGCAGGAACCACTCAAGGCACACTCTCTATAAGGAAGTCAAAGGTTTATACAAGTTGCAAACAAAGAAAGAATCTACTAGCTGAAAGAATTCTTGCACAACTCTTGGCGTTTCTAAGAACATAAGTTCTGAAGTTTATAAGAATTCTAAATGCTTAGCTGATACAAAATGAAGCGGAAGTGGAAATATGTGCCAATGTCGGCAACAAATTGTAATAGAAATCGAAATCGTTAAAACTTAAAGAAACTGAACAAGCACGAGTTGTGGCATTGAATTGGGCATAGTAAACCCTACATGCTATTTTTTATCTATTTCATATATTATCTCTCAGAATAAGGCTACTGAATTGCATAAGCCCAAAGCCACAATTTCACACCACGCTTTTCACGGCTCAACTGACTGAAAAGTGAGAGAGAAATAATGAAAGAAAGCCCTCTTTTGGACCCGACGCCGCCACCGGCTTTTGGACCAGCTTTGCAGCATGGCGGCATGGCCAGCCAGTATGTTCAACCCCTTTGGCTTAACGCTACGTGGCACAATTTCGTGGCCCAGTCGGCGGCAAGGCGAGGAAGTTAACGACTGGCTGCACTTTCACTCGGACGGAAGCCGGCAGTCAGCGGAGCATGAAGTCAGCCGCATGCCACCGCTGGCTGGAGGAAGAGCACAGAGTAGAGAGTAGAGATGGTGTGTCACTGCACTCTTGGCACACGCTTTATTCTGAACAAGAATCTACCTCGGCTTCAGCTTTATCCAAACAAGAATCTTCCTCGGCTTCCGCTTTATCCAAACAAGAATCTTCTTCGGCTTTAGCCTTTTCGCAAGCCTCTCGCTCCTTGATCCTCTCCTCGATCAGCGGCCGAAAGTGACGAATGAGTCCTTGTGGAGGCCAAGCGGCGCCATCACCCAAAGCACAGATGGTATGGCCCTCGATCTGCTTGGTCAGTTCCCACAGCATATCGATCTCCGCTATCTGGGCCTGGCCCGTCACGAATCTCTGCATGATCATGTTGACCCAGTGGAGGCCCTCGCGGCATGGAGTGCACTGTCCGCAGCTCTCGTGCTTGTAGAAGGCCGAAAGGCGAGCAATGGCCTTAATGATGTCCGTGTCCTTGTTCATCACTATCAGGGCGCCAGTGCCCAAGGACGATTTCACTGCCATCAAGCCATCATAGTCATGGATTGAGGTCTCAGCAACTTCCTTTGGAATACAGGGAGTCGAGGAACCGCCCGGAATGATGGCCATCAGGTTGTCCCAGCCGCCAATCACTCCGCCAGCATGGCGTTCAATCAACTCCTTGGTGGGCATCGACATTTCCTCCTCAAAGGTGCAGGGATTGTTCACGTGACCAGAGATATTGAATAGCTTGGTTCCCGAGTTCCGGGTGCGTCCAAAGCTGGCAAACCAGTTGCCACCACGGCGGCAGATGGTTGGCGCAACGGCTACCGTTTCCACATTAGTCACCGTTGAGGGGCAGCCAAACACACCGATATTTGCGGGAAAGGGTGGCTTGTTTCGCGGCTTACCAGCCTTACCCTCCAGCGATTCAATGAGTGATGTTTCCTCGCCACAGATATAGGCTCCAGCTCCGCGTTGCACGTACAAATCGAAATCATAACCGGAACCGCAAGCGTTCTTGCCCAGATAACCCGCCTTGTAGGCCTCTATGATGGCATACTGCAGGTTGCTGGCCTCATTGTAAAATTCTCCACGGATATAAACAAATCCTGTATTGGCTCCCATGGCCCGGCCAGCGATAAGACATCCCTCGATTAACTTGTGCGGATCGTGGCGCAGGATTTCACGATCCTTACAGGTGCCCGGCTCTCCTTCGTCCGCGTTGATCAACAGGAACTTTGGCCGGCCATCTGGAGGTTGCTGCATGAAAGACCACTTCAAGCCACTGGGGAATCCTGCGCCACCGCGTCCCCGTAGCCCCGAAGTCATGATTTCATGCACAATCCACTTGTCACCCTTGTCCAGGATCTCCTTGGTCTTGTACCAATCGCCTCGCTTCATGGCCCCCTTTAGACGCCAGTCGTGGCGTCCATATAAGTTGGTAAAGATACGATCAGCATCTGCAAGTGGACCAAATGTGGTCTTGGTCTGGGCTGGCGGTGTTCCAGGCGGCGGTGGTGGCGGCGGGGCACCTTCTTTTGATGGTGGATTAGCTCCCCTTGGAGGCGGAGTGGGAGGCTCTGCTGGCTCCTTGTCTTTCTTTGCTCCTTCATTTGATTTCATCTTTGTATTAGTATTTTTATTTTCAACTTTTTCTACAACATTAGACCTATATTCCTTGGCCCTGTCTCTGAGTCCCTTTAATAATTTCTCCTGTAGTTCCCGAAACTCGGCTTGTTCTAGTAACTTGTCCGCATTTTCACTAACCGGAAATTTCGTTGTGGGTGGTCCCAGTTTTAGTGGAAATTTCAGAGAATCATCGGCATTGTTGGCTTCAAAATAATCCTCTCGATTAATGCATCTTTGCTCGGAAGATAGCAGATAATCGTTAGAATCATCAATGGATTTTCCCCGGCTCATGCTGTGATATGTGGAGCATACCGCGTAGAGATGCTTCGTAATCTGTACGTATTGAAATCCCTCCTGTGCCAGTACATATTTTACCATACCTGAGTTTTTAGCAGACTTGCGTTCATCTTTAAGCTTTTTCAATTCCGATAAGCATCGTTGTCCACCCCGAATCGGTAACAATACTGTCTTGTATACGGTTAAAGGTCGGCGACGCAGCAATAAAGAAATCATGTTGTCGTCTATATCCGGATATTCTAAATTCTCATTTGGGTTACCTGATTTTGATGATAGAAAGTGCCTATGTCTACTATGTTAGTGATGAATTTTCAAACAATACATGTGATTGGAGGAAAATCCAAACATTACTCATATGTAGTAATAAAATTAATGTGTGTGTCCCCTTACCAATCTATTTATAACATCGCAATATAACCAAAAATCCAGACCACGCGAAGAATGGACTTTCCCATTGCCATGACGGCGCCTGGTAAATAACTCAAATCTAATCACTAAAAAAAAGAGTCGATAAAATGTAAAGAAAAAACTAAATGAAACATGGAAAAAGGCTGGCCAAGAGCAAGTAAAAACTGTGCGATATCTATGGAATATTGCTTTACTTCTGGGATTCACAGAGGTATACTATGCCACCAGGTGCTACAACTTCTCATTTTGGGTCTTAAAGCATATAGTTTCAGTTAGTCATATCCTTTCTCTTGTCAATTAAAACCCAAGGCTCATTATAAACCATAATATTCTACGGAATATCTATGGGAAGCACGCTAATGTCAGACCCAACGAGACATTTGCATTAATATGTCATTTCCATATCGAAAGTGACGGCCAGCGGATCCCCCAAAAACGGATTCTTGAATATATCATCAGCGCGCATATCAAATCATATATAGTTTGTAGTTTTTAGGGCAGCATATTGGGCAATGCCTGGCGCGTGATTTAAGTGCAGCCAAGTGTAAAAAATGGACAAGAAAATAATAAATAAAAAAATAAAATACAGGGAAAAGAAAGAAAAATTATGCCGTGTGTGAGTTGTGGCTGTTACTGTTTCTGTTTGTATTTCCACTGCCTGACTGAGCGAGCGAGTGAGTGAGCCGCAATGAAAGCAAATTAGTAATAATCACTTTTGTTATATCTAAACAAAATATGGAAAAAGAGCTCAGATATGGAGGCACATACATTCACACACGCACACTCGCATACACACACACACATTAACACCCCTTTTCCGCAATTTGTATAAAAATGAAAGTAGACAAAAGGAAGTGCTAATTTTAGCGATACCCCCTCATATGCATAGATAAATGCAAAGAAGAAGACGAACGCCGCAAGCAACAAATGCCGCAGAAAATAAAACAAAAACTTTAATTTACCGCAAAAAGTGTGTTTTGATTGGATGGCTAAACAGGTGCGTAATTAATGGTTTTTTTGAAAACAAACAAAACAGAAACAAAAACTTTGCTGTATCTGGAGCAGGCTAAATTCTTGGGAAAAACCCCCAAAAGCTTCCATGATGTTATAATAAAATGAAAAGGTGAAACAAATCAAGTAATTAGGACTCTAATAACAGACCTAATCTAGGACCACAATCCATGTGTAAATTAACACATGTAATTTATAGATTTCTAATTAAGGTTAAAGCTCTACTTATTGTTAGTATTTCCCACAACAATTCAAGTTAATTCTACCTTTAAATCAAGAGTTAGCTTAGGCACTTCTGAGGTTGTATCTTTAGGTTTACCAACATAGATCTTTATGGAAAGTAAGGGATAAAGAACTAACGATCCTGGCTTATTCAGCATGTATTGTTTCATGCCTTTAGTGATTTTAAAAAGTTTACAAAAATGGTACACTAATTTATTAAATATACTTTCAATACAGAAACCAACTAAAAGAATGTAAATGAAATGCTTTATACTCACGAAATAAATCCTTGCGAGCTAAATTTCTAGCACACAATACTGCAAAAAGACCAATAAATCATTAATCTATATTCAAGATAAACTAAAAATGTGCTACTTACTCGTTATTCGAACTTTGTGTGTACCATTGCGACGTGGATAATCCAATTTATTCATAATTTCCGACTTTTAATTGATATTGTTTGGTTTGTAAAGAAAAATAAATGTGGATTTATTTTGTATTTTGTTTATTTATTTATACGACAATTACGCGACGCGCTCATGTTTGTTGTTGGTTCGGCGGGCAACAGAGGAGAAGCAGCGCAGAAGGAGGAGTAGGAAGCGGAGGCGGAGGTAAAGGAGGAGGAGGAGCAGGTGAAGGCGGCAAGAAATAGTAATTTCATTGCCGAAGGTAGCAACTGCAAGTGTTGTTGTTCTGGCCGCTGCTGCTGCTGTTGTCGCTGTTTCGGTAGCCTTGATAGTTGCAATTGCTGTTGGTGCCGCCACTGCTACTTGTCATTGCTCACGCATATATAGATATATAAATAATAACAGCGATTTGCTGGTTATTACACGCTGCAAAATGGCAAGATAACAAATAGAAATCGGGTATTAATAATAAATTCGCTGCCAAGATAATGTACGTATGTATGTATATGCGAGCGTACAGAACCCAGCCCGAAAGGTATACTGAGATCTTCGATTCCCACAAATTCGCAGGTAGGCAAAATATATTCACAAAAAAAACTCACCCGAAAAACTGTTTTGTTACAGTTGTTGTTGCTGCTGCTGCACCTCACACGCACATGTCTCGCTCACTCTCTCGTACACACATACATACGCCCCTCACGCATGCTGCTGCTGGGTAGAGAGGGAGAGGTAACGGAGGAGGAGATGCGACGTCTCGTCTCGTCTCCCTCCCTCGTCGGTATTATTTCACAAATTGCATTAAATGAAATACCACTAGGCGTTTAATTAACTTTAATTTAGTCGCTGCTCCAGTATGGGTGCCTCACTATATTTACTTGCACACTCGCATTCCCCTCGCTCACAACGCGCCCGTCACTGTGTGTGTGTGCGCTACGAAATTTGCAATAATAACTTAACCGAAGGAGGCTGAATATTGTGGCTGTATTCACACGAATTTTACCGCACGCACTACGCCCGCCCCACGCTTTCACGACCGCGGAACTAATTAATTGTTGTATTAATGCACGAAAATATGTTGTCGCGGCCGCGAGTGCTATTGTTTTTATGGTTTCCTTTAATATTTTTAACGCGTTGTTTTATTTCTCGTACTTTAATGTTATCGATTGAGATGGGATGGCCTCGATGCGTGAGCTACTTAGAGGTGACACTTATCGATACTTTGGGCATATCGATTATTTATTACACGAATAAGAAAATGTGGCAACTCAGATTCAAAGAGAGTCACGAGGCTGCCCTATGAGCTTTTTTGCAAAAGAATCCATTTTTCCGGATGACTAGCAGGGCTGCGCCCTCACCCTAGACGGTGAAAAATGGCGTGGAGACGAAAAATGGTTGGGAAGCCGTAATATTTTCAGCCACATCTGGCAGCGCCAATGTCACGGATCTTCTTAAGTGTGACCAGTTGTCACTGCACGTGAAATCCGCTCTTTCATCGAAAGAAATTCGGCGGCGGGCATACTTGCAGATATTCTTATTATTATTATTGTGATTTTGATTGATATTAAACCACTTCTTTTACTTTGGCAACAAGTGTGTTGAGTCGATTGAAATGGAAATTGACTTGGGATTTGCGGAAAAACGGGACGATGTCAACTGGCTAACCAACCGATACTTTCCCAGCAAGTTGGGCGGTCAACCCGCGTGGCTGGAACTGGAGAGTTTGCCGCCCCCGTCTCAGCTGCAGTGCAGAAAGTGCAAGGCACCAAAATCCTTCCTGGTCCAACTTTACGCTCCCTACGAAGATGACTTCAATTTCCATCGGTCGATCTTTGTGTTCCTATGCCGGAATCCGGACTGTCAGCAGGCCCAGAGTGCGGAGTAAGCAACGGGCATTCTTCCCAAGAAATGTGACTAACGAATGTGGAAATTTCAGCAATTTCACGGTGCTAAGATCACAGTTGCCGCTAAAGAACAAGTTCTACTCTGAGGAAGATCCAGATGATGAAGGTGATCCTCTGGTAGGAGACATACATCAAGGCTGCTAAAGATCTCCAGTTACTCATTGTTTTACTATTCCAGCCAGCTATTCCCTGCTTGAAGAAACTGTGTGCCGCCTGCGGTTGCCATGCTCCTCACGCCTGTGCCAAGTGCAAAGCCATCCATTATTGCTCCGCGGAGCATCAGCGGGCGCACTGGCCACGCCACAAGCTAAACTGCGGATCCACTCCAAAAATTAATCGCGAACCGCTCAGTAAAATTGAGTTTCCTGAGTTTGAGATCGTGATGGACAGCAATCCTACAAAGGCGTCGGAAGACGACAAGGACGACGATGCCCGTTTGGCAGAGTTCCAGGAGCTGGAGGCCAGTGGCAAGACTGGCGACCTGAGCAACGTGTCCGAGGCGGAGATGGACAAATACTTTGGCAACACAGCTGCCGCTGATGACAAGACCTTTCGACAGTTTAAGAAGCAAACGGCAGCGGAACCCGAGCAGATTGTTCGCTACAAGCGTGGTGGCCAGCCCCTGTGGATTACAGACACTGCCAAGTCCGTGGCGGATCAGCTGCAGTCTTTGCCCAGCTGTACTAGTTGCGGAGGAGCGCGACAGTTTGAGTTTCAGATTATGCCACAGACCCTGACACTGCTGGACGATGAGAACCTAGATTGGGGCGTGCTGGCGGTATACACTTGTGCCATGAGCTGTCCCATCGAAGGCTATGCGGAGGAGCTGCTAATCAAGCAGGACATTGTCGCGGATGAGCAGAGTTGACACAGTTAAAATGCATACATGTAAATTTTATATTTTTGTCAATTGCGGAACACGAACACGAAGACATTGTCTACTTAAGCTTGATGATGGGGAAGAAGCTGTGCTTGGAGAAGTCAAACTCTGGTTGGCGCTTCAATTCCTTTTGGTGGCCACGTGCCAGCACATTCATCACCACGAAATTGGTTCGAGCGATTTGAAGGAGATCCAACATCTGGCAGGAAATATTTTCTTTTGGATTATATATTCCGTGGATAGTAGTTCTTACTTACCTCCTGGTCGGGATTCTGAATGCTCTCCAGCACATTGCGCGCCTGATTAAAGTGCTTGCCCGCGTAGGTGTAAAGTTCTTCAACGCTGGGCTCCATCATATGTTCTCTGATGTTCCTGAATTCCCCATACGAAACGGGCGGCGGGCTGGTCAGCGTTGCGAAGGGCAGGAAGCGGCGATTGTAGCGGATCTCTTCGTTGTCGAACTGGGACAGGGGCAAACGCACGCGTCCGTCTTTGGTCAATGCGCCCATGGCCTTGTACATGCCACCGCAGAGGCTGAGCAGGGCGTGATAATAGACAATCTCTCCGCGGTACGGACGCTGTTGCTTCTTGTTCTTTTTGGGCTTGGCAGCCTTGCGATTCTTGGCCGCTCCTGCACCGGCACTCTGGAGTCTGCTCTGATGCTCTGCGTACTCTTCCTGGGCTAGCAGAATGTTCTCCGTGCGTGTCAACGCTGACACCAGAAAGCCAATGAGGAACTCGTATGGGTACCAGTATATGTAAAGGAATTCATGGACAGCATACAACTCCAACTCAAAGCCGGACATCAGGAAGATCAGCATGGCACGGAAGCAGTTGTACAGCACCCAGGTGGAGAAATGGGTGCTATGCTTCAGTGCGGTGGCCATCGACTCGTTGCCCTCCATGGCGCGCTCGTTAGCCAGCTGGTTCATCAGCGAGTCCAGACGCGCCGCATCCACCTGAATGGTGTCGAAGTTCTCAATCAGACGCGCTAGCTTGTCCCGCTGCCGGGCGCGATTAAAACCGCAGATGCGGATAAACTGGGTGAACGTGTTCATGTTGATGCAATAACGGAAGAAGTTCTCTAGGTGCTGCTGCACCTTGGGATCGGCGGCCACCGGATGCTTGGCATTTAGCACGGGCGGCGAGTTGAAGATCTGCACGGAGTGTCGCAGGAACTGCTTCATGGGTAGCTTGCCATGCACCATCCGAATGTTAGAGCTAAACAGGCTCTGTAGAACGCTTCTGGAGAGGATGCATTGCCCCGACTTTTTACTGTACTCGATGAAAAAGTTCTGAGAAAATATTCAGATAAAATGGGTTTCCTTTAAATTCTTAGCTTAGCTTAGCATACCAGAGCCGAGTAGTAGTCCTTGTGCTTGACGACTTTGCAGGCGTACTTAAAGCGCGAGATCATCTCCTCCAGGAACTGATAGCTGGCCGGACGATCTCTGATCTTAATGCTGCGCGGAAATGCGGGCGGCTGGCTGCGATCGTGAATGCGTGGCGAGAAGCCCATGGGATTGGGCGCCTCCGCTAGAGGAAAAAACGGCGGTTAATACTAAGAGGGGTTGATCAGTGCTCACTTACAGCCTTTCTCCGGCTGGATGCCTCGATCCATGGTCTTCCTGATGAGCGGCAGCAATTCCATGGCCACTTTAAGGTTCTTGTGGATCTCATTGATAGACTCGTCCGTTGTGTCGGCGTTTGCCATCTGCTCTACTTGGTAAATAACCTGGAAGAGGTTACGCATAAAGCGCAGCCTGTTTACCACAGCCATCCAATCCTCTGTGGCCGTTAGCTTCTTGCACCTACGCACCAACTCGTCTTCGACATCCTTGAGGGCACTATATACACCGGCGGGTTGGGCCTTCTCAGCGGCCAGCAAGGCAGAGTTTCCATACAACTGAAAATCCTCCTCCTCGTTGACGGCGGCCGCGGAAATAATATTCTTAATCACCACGATGAGATTGCGCACGGCCGTGCAGAAGACGCGCAGTGCCCGGTCCTTGATCTGGGAGGGAGCGTGCAGATAAAGGCAGGTGAAGAGCACCTGGTCTATGGAGTTACCCTCCAGCCAGGAGACAATGCAGGAGAAGAGAGCATCGAAGGTACCGATCAGTTCGGCTGGCGTGAGATCTTCCAGCTTGATGGCGCCCGTCTACAAATGAATCCACGTTTAGCAAGGACATCACAACATTAAAATTTAAAGTCTTACTGCAATGGCAGCCTCAAAGGAGGGCGGCGGCAGGTCCTGCTTATCGAAGCCCATGCCCACGTCCATCTTTGGGTCCATTATCTCAATCGCCGACATGGCCTCGAATAACCCGAATAGCATATCCTGGGCCAGCTCCCCAGGCAGTAGTTCGGTGCAGGCGTCGTGAAACTCCTTGGTGACATCCACCCAACCGTGAATTGGGTACTGTGTGATGTCCTCGGCGGCACCGCCGCCCTGCAAGGCGCGCTGCACCTCCGGATCGAGGAAACCGCACTCGCCCACGCTCCATTCGTCCTTCTCGGAGCTGCTGGCACGTGCAGCCGCGGCGGCGGCTGCTGTGGCCGCCTGGAAGTCAGCTGGATCTGAAACGCTGCTCGGAAAGAGGGGTAGGAATTTATAATATATATATACATATATATATAGATAGACGGATTCCGAGCACCGGTGGTGCTGGCTTTCCTCACCTTCCGTTCATGGTGCTCTGCCTCGTACAGCCGCGCAAAGTCGCTGCCTATGTCTCCTGTTGGCGCTCGTCGGGCGAAAAATTTGTGGCTCGCCTCGCTACTGGTAGTCTTTTATTTATAAATTATAATATTAAAACCCAAAAAAATTTACCAGAATATTTACCTTTTGGTCACTCTGATTTCCGGAGCTGTTACTTAACATTTTACATCTTACACATCTGGAAAACGATTTGACACGTTTACAGATACACTCACTTGTGGCATCGAATTTTCTACATGGGGGAGAATTTTCATGTAAAATGTAAATTTCGCTAAACGCAGTCAAACAGTGCTGGTAAACGAAACGTTCATCTTTTGCTTCCGATACCGATAGTTATTTAATTAGCGCGCCAAATCGTGAAGCTTTTTCTAGCCCTGGCTTAACAGCTTCCTGCTAAAGTTAGCAGAGTTTGGACGTTACAACTGTTACGAAATTCAAATGCTGAGTCAGGTGAAAATGGGAATAAACAGGAAGGCTGGTTCATTGGACTGCCGGCGTTGGCGGCGGCGGCAAGCTCATTAACGAAACCAATTGACTGAACTGCAAGCCAGCGATTTCTGTGAGACACACGACCAGCAGATCCCAACAGAACTGTTCCGTAGCCGATAAAAGACGGACAATAGTCGGGAGCTTTGTTTCGTTATTAACCAAATATTCTTATCTTGAAAAAAAAAAAATGCTATGAACCGGAGGGGAACGCGTCTACCTTATCAGTGGTCCTCTTATCGTGTGTGGTCTCAAAACTCAAAGCGGAAAAGCTCGCTCGCGCTTTTACTCGGGATTTACTGGGCGCCCGCCCCACGGATTTTGGGGTTGTCCGTCGTCGCCTCCTGAATGTTACAAGTATCGAATAAAAAAACACTCGAGGGGTTGAATTGGTTTGTTTACACCAAACGCGGGACTCACTCGCTCTCCCCAAATCGCTCTTACTCTCCATTTGGGTTAATAGCTCCCCAATTCTCCCTTGTTTTTCGCGATTTCACTCAATTCGCAGATAGTTGTGAACTCATGTTAACTAACAGTGGGGATATTCGAAATAACAGAGAATATAGTCTAAAAAAAGAAAAGGTTTTAGCCAACATTTCACCAATTCGAAGCTGTTTTAGAGGAATATGTATTACAATAAGGAATGTGAACAATTAGGCTGTAATATTGTTTATTTTTATTAAGTTCTAAAGCTAATAATTTGATTTTTTAATGTACAAACAATTTATTATTTCTTCTTTATTCATTTTAGAATCTATAACGCAAGCTTAAGAAAAGATTTGACGATGTTTTCACCTATAAGAAACTGCGTAATTTTTCTTAATATTTACAGATCATATCAAAACACTGAAAAAATCGTATTATGTTCGAATATATTCACTGTTAAAGGCGAATACATTCACTGTTAAAAGCTGAGTGCGTCCTCCATGAAACTTGAGAGCGACGGCCAGTGACTAAACTCACTCAATGAATGAGAAGAACACAGATTGAGAGAGAAATCGGGAGAGACCGAGTTTGACCGGCGAACTAAAATTCTATTTAAGCAACGCTCGCTTGTATTGCATTTCAATCTGTTTTCGTTTGCCTATAAAAAATAACGCGGAAAGCATCGCGATCTAACAGGAAATTACTGCTACGAAAATTACGAAAAATATTTCACTTTAAAACAAGTCCAAATAGTACAACACAATTGTGCGTGAAATCCAAAAACATAAGTTTTTAACAAATAAAAGAAAACATCAATCCAAACCAAAGGAGGCGGCATATTAGCGCCTACTTATTAGCCAATCTCAAGCGTAAGTTGCCAACGAAAATAAGTTTTTATTTTAGACTTTAATAATAGAAACAATACAAAGCATCCACTCTGTCACACAAATGTTTTCTTTCAAGTTCTTCGAGAATTAAATAAAAAACACAAAAGAAATTTAACTATAAAAAATATACATATATGCATTTATTTGTGGGACATTGGATAGGGACAGTGCTTCCCCCACGTACTAATTAAATGCGAGCAACGAAAATTTAAGCGCCTAATGCCGCAGACGACGCGACTTTTTGGCAAGTGACCAAATCAAATTATTGAAATTGTCGAAACTATATAAAGAGAACAAAATTCTTGACGTGTGTCACATTAAAAACAACAATTTGAGGGCTTTATATTTAAGATCTGATAAGTATAGTTCACTTTCTTCAACTTCATTTACTTAACTTCTTTCTCAATTGTTTGATCTTTTAAAGTATGTTGGGTTTATACATTGTTTTAAAGGGTAGGACAAAGATAAGATATTTTCCTTATCGTGACGAACAAAAAGAGACATTGGGCGACGTCTTATCAAATAACGCAATATTGCTGGCAATACACGTTCCAGATAGCATTCAACTAGAAGTGGTATGTTTTTCAAATCGATCCAGGAATATGTTTGTTACTTAACCGGTTGTCAAGGCTGCCGCGGCTTTAAGGTTTGTGCCACCTCCCCACCATCCCATGCCACCTCCAATATAAGGCCCATCCATCGCTGACCGGGGGCGTGACAACTGACCAAACTTAATCGTGGCCCACACGCACGAGTTAAGCTGCCAATAACAAGCAGACAAGCAAATACACAGCCAAACATGATGGGAAACTGCACACGGGCAATGAAAATCACGGTCCTTGGGCAAATATGTGGAAAACAACTTCTTTCTCCACACACACACGCTCGCACACATTCGGTGGCACATGTGTATCCTATTTATTTCAATTGATTTGGGGGCAACGTGGCGTATGAGCAATGCCCGAGGCAGCCTCTACAGAGAGAGCCACAAAGAAGGCGGAAATTCCTGGCATCGCAATCGAAATCGGGAAGCAGGAATCTGGCAGCAGACTCCTGTCCCTCCACAGGCTTCCTCTTGCTTTTATATACAGTATTTTGTATCGATTTGATTGGATTTCATTCCATTTGATGCTCCTGCTCCGTACGGGTTTGTGGCTTTTTAATACGCTTCAATAAAGCTGACTCTGAATCCAAGCTGAATCCCAGTTAATTGGATTTAATGACAGTCAAACTACCCTAAATCGAATTGTTATTTGCTTTTGAGAGAGTGGGTAGTATCCTTTAGCATTCTTTGACTTATTTTTTATATAGAAAGCATTTCTGAACTTGGTTTAAATATAAAATTTCTTGGGAAAAGAAGTCAACAAACCTTATCACAGAAAGTTTTTTAAAGAGAATTTCAAGATTTAGAGTAGTGTTTAAATTTAATCTTTAAATTGACAAGAAATAGTCAAGCATGCATTAAATAGTTCTATTTAAGGACAAATCTCCTTTAAATTAAGCTGATATTTGAGATAATGGCAACATTTCCTTCACTCACTCTTCGATTTCTTTTTTTATTTCAAAAACTTTGAGCCAAAGAAGTTTCAGTTATAAAAGTTACTTCAGAGTTTGGCAAGTTAAAGTTAAACAAGTTCATGCTAGAGAAGTTAGACTGTAATTGACCCAGCAGGGCAAACAACCAATAAGTAAAAACTCTGGTAAAAGGATTTGTTACAACACACAACAACAACAAAAAGAATCCCCGATTTAGCTGCAACGAAGGCACACAAGTTTTCGCATTTTCCTTTCAGCTTTGGCTCTGGCCCTGGCTCTGGCTTGGTGTGTGTTTGTGTGTGTGCTGACTGAGTTATGGAGGTCCGTTTCTCATCCAATTAAATTAATGAAAGTGCATGAATATTTCAGGTCCAGAGATCTCATTCAGAATGGCCAGAGAGCAGCATTCATTAGGCTCCTGGCCAGGCCTCTGTGTCAATTAGTCAAAGCGCTTTAAGAGCCAACCAATTAGGCTAAAATGTTTGTTGCTCCTTTAAGCGCAGTTAAATCCCTCAAATCAGCGCGAAAAAGGACAACTCTCCCACACCGCTGTCCTTTAAAGGACCCTCACACAAACAATAACAATAAAAACACATCAAAATCAATCTGTCAACAAAAACTCGAGCAAAGTGCTGACAATAGACAGCAGACAACAGGCGGGGGAGGACCAGGGACGACGCCCCGGGGAACTGACAAAGCATCCCGGCTACGTGCCCCTCAAAAGCCGTTGTGAAGGACCAGCAGCAGCAGAAGCACACCGCCACGCCTCGTTCAAGTCTCTGAAGTATTTAAAACACCCTTCAGCTGGGGCGAGCACCGAAGCCCAATCCCATTACCATCCTTATTCTCCTCGAAAGTGGGTGTGTGTGAGTCGGATCTCGTTTTATTACAAGAGGAAAGACAAACAGCAAAATGGCGCCAACATTGTCAGAGTGTCAGCTTGTTGCTGCTGCTATTGCTGCTGCTGCCGCTTCTGTTGCTGCAGGCAGCCGAGCGGCAATGGCCATAATGAGGATGCGGAGGATGAGCATGCGAATGCCGCTCTGATGATCATAATGATGACGATGAGGATGAGGATGCCCACTGGTGCACGGCATTCGCTTGGCTTACTGCCAGCAATTTGCCCTGCCGTGCTTTCAGGGCTCACTGGAAAAAATTTGGTTATTCATTTAATATCAATGGGAATTTATTTAGAGATAAGCACTTGGTAAATTCTTAGTCAGTTTAATATACGTGTTTTATTATCAATATTAAAGCCTTTTAATTGAGCTACTTGGCTTTAGCTTACAAAAAGTCATTCAAATAACATGGAAAATATAAAATTAAGTACATAAATCGTTTTTCAATTTGGTTTTCTCATTAAAAGTTATACACAATTTTTTAATTTTTGTATTAGGTATAGAAATTAATAATCACCCTTTTATATTTATTTCTTTTTTCTTGCTAACTTTAACTTCCAAATTGTAAGTAGAAATATATAGCCTTGAGCTTCATTCATTCAATTAAATATTTTGAAGGAAAATCTTTTTAACTCTGCGAAAAATTCCTATTAATAGACGTGGCTTATTTCATTGTCTTTATTTAGTAAACTGTTGTTATCAATAGGGGTCAAACTGCATTAAACAATTTGTTGACCCCAAAATGTAACCAATTGATGAGCATTTAACGACACAATTTCATTTCTCAGTGTCTGTGTGTGTTCAGTGTGGCATACACGGCGAATGCGCAATGTGTCGTTGTCAGGGAAGCTGCATCCGTTGCCTTTA